CCTTCTTTTCCATATCAGTCAGCTTCATGTCAGGATAAAGACTAGCATTCAGAATCAGCCGGTAATTCCCTCGTGTTCTCATAACAAGTCTGGCTTTTGCTGTCCCACTTGTTGGAACATTTACTTTGAGCTCCCCCTTCCCCCGCTCCTTCCAGGATCCACCAAGATACTCAAAAAGCACTGAATCAGCTACAAAAACAGGCTTCTCATTCTCTTCCCCTGTCTCCACAGGAACCTCCTGCATGGAAGAGAATCCACTTCCCTCGCTCTTAGTGATAGTGGAAGCCCCTGACGAACCAAAGAGAGAAGAACTTCCATTATTAGAAAGGCCAAATCCAAAAGAAGGCGAGTCAACTTTTGATCCAAAAAGAGAACCAGAACCAGAACCAGAACCAGAACCAAGTGATCCAAAGGAGAAAGTGGAACTGGAAAACCCAGTTCCAGAAAGGCCAGTGAAAGCATTTCGGCTGCTTGAAAGCTGCTGAAAGGAGCTGAAAGATGCAGCTTCTCCACTCTTGTCAACACTTGCATTGTCATCATCCTTTCTATCCTCATTGTCGCATTCCTTGACTTCAGCATTTTCCTTGTCATCCTTCTCAATGTTGTTTTCACTGCTCGTTACTTTCCCAGCCTTGTCATCTGCAACTTCAAGTTTGTTTGGCCCCTCTTCATTATAATTGTTCTCCTTCTCTCCAATAGTTCCTGTGTCTGGTTCATTGACTCTACTCTCTAATTCATTCTCGTTCTCATCAGATTTATTATCTATTTCCTCGCTTCCGACAGTTTTTACCTCATTATCAGCAACACTTTTTCCACTGTCAGCTTCAGCAGTGAAATGAGCCGTAGTAGCACCAGAATTTGGAGGAACCAAGCGGATTCCAGCAAAAGGGTTAGAAGATGGGGCTGAAGGAGTTGTTGATGACTGATTACGACGAACTTTAACAATTCTTCTACCTGCCAGCACCTCTTCACTCGCCCTCTTGAAGGTTCCCATCTCTTGTTCAGATGACCCCTCCTCATCATCATCAAGACCAGGGTTATCTCGAGATAGTTCTCTTCCAGCAGCCCTCTTTTTCGAGGGTTGAACATTGCTTTCTGCATCCCCCATCGAAAAATATAGTAAAAAGTATGACGTTACTGGCTGTTTTGTCAGGAAAGTGACTTTTCTGCACCCAAAAAAAGATAGAACTAGAACATTGAAGTATAAAGTACAAAATCCAAGAATATATAATAACAAATACTAAAATGTACACATGTTTCTAAGAATAAAAGGATTTTAAAAAACAAGACATACTGGAATACTAAAATTACGGTGGTAAAAAGGTGACAATGAAGGAAACTTAACCATAATCTCATCTAGTCAAAATTGCAAGGCAAACAAGGTATAATACTGACATACAAGAGTTTCCAAAAACAAAATTAATGTGATGCTTCTACCTCGACAGTTCTTAATTGTCTAATATGTCATAGTATTTCAATACCATTAAATTTGGCTTGGATATTAGAAATTTCGCACCTCAGGTGAATTTCTATTTGACCTGATTTAACAACTGAAACATCATACAAATACTTCAGATGACATTTCGGTGCCATCCAAAGATATATGACTACAGAAATAAGGTGCAAAAGATTCTATATTAAAAAAAACTCGTGCTTAAAACTTATTGACACCTTTAGACTTTGTCATTAAAACAAACTCAGCAAACAATTATGCCAATGAATCAAATAATAACTAGATTTGGCAGGAACCCTTTAAGTCCAATAAGCAATGAGAAGCCACCGAGATGCAAGGAAAATAAGGGTCTGTATGAAAATAAGGATCTGTATGACCTTGTAAAAGAGGAGGATCATACAACTCTATTAACCCTAATTTAGAAAATAAATCCTAAAACACGCAAAGCAATTCATTTTAGTATATCATATACTAAAAATAAAGAAAAACGATATGGATAAAACAAGAAAACATTGAAATACAACCTGGCCTTTTCTAAGCAAAGAAATAACAAAATTACAACAGAATAACGGTATCAAAAGAACAAGAAGAAAACAATAAAATTAATGCCCATAGTCCAACAAGCGGTGGGAAAGCGGTAATTACCACCACTGGAGACAGGAACCACGCGAAGCACTAAAATCTTAGAAAGCCAAATAAACACGCAAACTCCAGCCAATGAATGAAAGCAAAAAAATCACCAGCGACAAAAAATAATTCAAAAAACAGCTGTGTCAATTGCCCAAAAAGAAAGAAAATGAGTTGATCACATCCATTCTCCTCCTTTCTCACTCTTATATCGAACTAGTATAAAAACCCTTCTGATTGAACCAATTCTAACCTAGGGTGTATGAGCATTTTTAGGTCAATACCGGCATTGGAATACAAAAATTGACATCTGAAAATTAAGATAAAATTTAGCAGGATATTAACCACTCTGACATCCTATAACGCATTAGTCAGCTTACAAACCAGTATAATTTTAGCAACAAAGAGGAGAATTCAAACTTTTCCTTCTGCATACGTGGAAAGAAAAGGAAATCACAGATCAACTTATTTTTGAAGCATAATCCCCGAAAAAAGAAAATCATACAAGAATATGAACACACATCCATATCCGCCAAGAAAATTCCAGCTGAAACTTTGAAACAAATCTTGTCATTCAAGAATGAAAAGAACCAAAAAAGATAAACAAGTGAAAATTCAACTCTTTATTCTTAAGAGCAGCTAGACGCTACCATCAACCCAAAGCCCCTTATCGGAAACTTTTAAAGAAAAGGCCACCCCAAAAAGCAGCGAACTAATCCAATTAAGTTCCTGAATTAAATTCAAGAATGCGCCGAAAAATATAAAATACACGCTCATAACGTTCATTTATGCACACCAGCAAAGGATGCATATAACCAATAATTCAAAGTTGTACAACATAAAAACTAAAAGGGGAAAATTAAATGCTGAAAAGCGAAAATATCATGGATATAGGTGAGAGTGAAGGAGTTAAACCGAAACCTAAGAGGTAGCGTTGAAGGTGTTATGTTCGACTTCGTCGGAGGTTGGATTTGGGGGGCTCTCCCCGCTTCTCTTCTATCTCTGTGAGCTCGAGGGCATATAAAACCCTAGGTCCAGGTGCCTATTTTTCAACCAAAATTCCAGAATAAAAGAAAGTGCCCTTCCTTCTTCTTATCTTTCTTTGATGGGCATCGGGCTCCGCTGCCTTTATATTTTTTCCCCTTCTTTCTTTACTTCAAGAATGTAGTACTAAATTAGTAAGTTGTATGCGTTTCTGTAAACTAGAGCTCTTTTTTTGAGTTAAATACAATAAATCGAGAAGTAAATAAAGAGGACGAGACTATTTTATTCTTTATATTTTTATTTTCCATAATGAAAGAAAGACTAATAATGTTTTTTTATTATTTTGATAAAATATAAGAAGAAACACTAATTGTTGAAAGGATTTTTAACAAGGTTGGAATCGGAACCGGATTTCGGTTCTATTCCATTTTAGGGAATTATAACCGGTCTCTTTACTTATGAATTTTTTTTTTTGTTTAAATTTTCGGTCAAATTATTGTTCAATTTGGTGGAGTTTCTGGTCGAAAATGGAACCGTCATCATGCCTAATCCTAAGAGCTTTCCTTTTAACCGCTAGGCCAACTCTTTGCTGGTCACGTTAAAATGTGATGAACATTAATCAATACCGGAGTAAAGGACTGATTTTACTCAAAGAACAAATAATTGAAAAATTGTACTACAATTTACTTCACAATTATGGTGTCAAAATGTAATGCACATTAACCTAATAGTAGAGCAAATAAGTGATTTAAGTCGAAGAACAAATGATTGATTGCCATTTGAATTGACTTCACAAGAAATTACTATTTGGAATGTTATTTTTAGAAGTTTTTGTAGAAAAATGTACTGTAGTGATTTGATGTATGCAAGATAAAAAAGTGATTGACAAATATATTTACGAAAAACGTAAAAATTTTTCTACGAAAACTAACAATCCAAACAAAGTCAAAGAACAAATTATTGATTGTCATTTGAATTGATTTCACAAGAAATTAAATATTCTCTCAACTGAGTTAGCTAGCTCAGTTGGCTGCCTGTGTTTTCTTTCTAGAATTTTCTAGAATTTGATCAAGGTTATTTAGTTTATTTTGAATATCTCAATAAATTAGATAAATCCATCCCCTTTTTTCTCTAGAATTTTCTAGAGCACGGTCAAAGATTATTTAGCTTCTTTTGAACATCTCAATAAGTTAGATAGATCTATCCCCTTTTCCTTTTCCCCAACGTAAAAAGAAAAACTTGTGTGTACTCTGTAAAACTTGGCAAATAACTCGACGGTTTTGCAAACGTGTCATAACAGTTTACCCCAAAAAAAAAAAGAAAAATCAAGAGACCGTATTTTATATTTCAAATTACAAAACCCGTTCACATACCAAAATTCCAGAACTTTCGATATTGGCATTCATCTTCGAGCGTATATCTTCGATGATTAGTTCCTACCATTGCAGATTTATGTGCGAGAGAAATCGGAATCGAGAGGCTGTAGAATAGGGATCTGTAAAGTTGCTTTTCCTTCTTTAATTTCTTTCTTTATGTTATTCTTCTGTTTTGAGAACATGCATGAAAATATGAATCTGACAATTTTTAGCAGAAGTCACGCATTCCTTTCTGAAATAAAAAAGAAACTACAAAAAGAAAAAAAAATCTCCATTAATTTGTCTTCTGACATTGAAATTCGCAATAACGTGCGTGCTTTAGCCGAATCCTCTCTCGCGCTACATGCCTTTGCATATTGTCCGTTAAACAGTCACAAAGAGAAAGGAAAGATGAAAAGAAAATTGCCGCGGGTTCAAGATGCTGTTGACGGCCAGCGGCAACTGGGAAGCGGGGGAAAGAAGAAGTGGTGGGGTTAACTTGTTCAAAATCCTTCTTTGAAACGTCACGGCGTCACAAAAATGGATCCTACGTTGATATCAGTAAACAAATTCAACGGATGCGGAAAATGGTGGGGTTTTTAATCATCATATTTGGAGCCTTTCCATTGGTCAACAACCAAGACCAAAATATTTCTCGTATAGATACACTCATAGGATTCCACTGTGTAACATCCAGATAGAGAAAACTATCAAGCGCAATCCAACCAATTACTGATACGTTTACATTCACAATGGCACATAAGAATTTCATGAAAAAATTGGCCTAAACGAGTGTAGTAAAACTATAGAACACTAAACAACTAACTGGAGCTTGGAACACTGTCTACGGTATGTGCCCTGACAAAATTCATTGTGCTTGAAAAATCACACCACCAGCAAAAAAGACACCCAGTCCCTTTGTCTCCTCTTTCAGATACGCCATAGAAAACCTGAAAAAGAAGACTAGCACAATTGTAATTCTGCAACAAAAACGAGAGAGAGTCCATTTCATCAGACACGCCAACCCCAAAGGAAAATTACAATTGATATAATCTTGAAGAGCATGCAACAAGAATTTCTACAATACAAAAAACTCAACCAGATAAAACAGGTAAATCTCCTCTGAAATGAAATCCCAACATGAAGAAAGATAACGTAGTAGTGAAATTCTGATCCAGGTCCAACTGGAGATTCTCTGAAAGCTACCAGTTCAAAAACTGCACAGTTATTAATATCAAGTCACGCGGCAGCACAAAAGTTTGTAATAAAAATGTTAACAACATTAATAGTTTGTTCCGGGGAAGCAGAATAGGAATTTCAACTATCTATTCTTGCCCAATTGCGCTTCATTCACTACAAGATTTGGTCATCTCATGATATTTCTGCATGAAAGCTCAAACTACGGTTCTCCAGTCTATAGGAGCTCTGCCTTGTTTGATCAGGAAACTAGGCAACTTTTGCATACATAAAAGAATGTAAAAACGGCAACTTTTACATCCATAAAAGTATGTAAATGAGCAGATAGCCCAAAAACTTTAGAAAAACATGGATTAACAAAATTCATATTACGCATGAAATGAGCTCTCACCTCAAGGAAATTGAATTCAGCAGGAACCAGGTGTCTTGACTGGAACTAATGACATGGTGTAAGCACTGCCAGTCAGGAAAAGAGGAAAAAAGAGAAGAAAAAGAAAGCATAATTAGAACCTTATGTTTCATACCTCACACCTTAACCAAGAAGTGTATAGCAATTAAAATTCAAAACTAAGAATCTTGAAAGCTGATCAGGATAAGTCACTGTCCACTACATTACAGATACAGTCAGCACTATAAGAAACATACTTGAAAGAAATAATGACAAAAAACAAACCATAAGCAACAACTTAATCCATTGCTGAGGTTCGACGCAGACACGTTCATTAAATGAAATGCAAATATAAGATCAAGAAAATCAGTGTGCTAAATTGAGCCCTCCCTTAGCAAGAAACTAAAATAAATTAATTACAAGTTTTAAATGTATAAAGTAACAAGTAGAACCATAATTCAACCTTTTACCACAAAAACGACAGTGAAACAACAATGAAACAAAAGGCCAACTACAAAATTTGGATTCAAGCACAACTGAAAGATCTCAATTAATCACCAGCAACAAAACTAGGATTTTCACAATGGCCCAACCAATTGCTTTTAGGCTGACGGTTTTCCTTCATGATTCGTACCCCACTCTTCGTCAGCCTCGTTTCCGTTAACGAGTACTGCACCGTCTGTAGAGTCTGCATCAACCACCACAGCCTCTTCGTGAACCTCTTCTTGACCACCTTCTTGCCTCTCATCTTGTGCATCACCTATGTCCTCCTGCAACTCATCTCCATTTTGTTCCTAAACAGTACCATGAATACAATTCCAGAAACTTAGCACCAAATAGAAATAGAGGTGAATATGCAGTCATTTAGCACTATACTCAGCAGTTTACATGATCAAGTTACTAGTAATAACAGGAAAATCAATTGATTAAATAAGCTCTTGCAAGGTATACCAGTGTGTCCATCCCGAGGGAAATATGGAAAGCTTACTTGAGAAAGATATCAAATAAACATAGAGATATGGATTTGTAAATGCTAACTATACCTCATAATCCAAGGCTCCATTTTCAAGTGGTGGCTCGTCATCCATTTGCATGTTTCTAAAAGCCTCCACTAGACTGATGGTCGATCTATCCGCATAGTTCAAATATTCAATTGCTGGAGGATGATTACCCCTATAAAATAATGAAAGACAGTGAGAGTTATTCGACAATTACTTAGCATTATAATTTCTTCATATGTCTAGAGCTCCGAAAGTTCATCCACCATTCCAAAGCATAACTGAAAATGAAAGTATGCTTGAGAAGCCCATGTTCCAAGAAGGCAGGGCTACATGAGAATAAGTAATAATTTAGAATAAGGCATATAGTACAACTCTCAGATAAATTTCATCCATTTAGACCATCATCTGCACACACAGACAGGTTTTTCCACAAAAGTTTAAATCACTACAGAAACAAATTCATAATAGGACAACAATAGGTGAGTACAATGTCACCTTGTTTCAGCAACTTTGCCCTCAACAGCAAGTGCAACTTGCCAGTCATCAAACATATTTGGATATTCTTCAGGATCAGCCAAAGACTCTGAAGCTTTTTGATTAACCTGCAGGCATAATTGAATTGATTTAACTGACACAAACAAGGAAGAATATCGTTAACTGATACAAAAAAGGAAGAGCATTCAGCAAAACTAATTCACCATTTTTAGCTTGATATCCAACAAAATTCAGTTGACATTTATTTTTCTGAATATATAAAACAGCATTGGTAAGAAACAAAATTAGCTTGCAGCAAAAAACATTTCAGAATCAGGAAAATCAGAAAACGGGGATAAAGTTAACAATTTGAAAAATGGCATCACTCAACTCAACCTCCTATTTATATTTTCAGCTTTAACTGTGCACTTGTTCACCTTTTATTTCACTTTTTTTTCCAACTAAAACCAATTATTTAATCCTTGTTTGCACTTACAAAAGTCAAACGTCAAAAAATGAGAAAATCGTGAACATTTTTGCAAATCCAGCAAAACAAAGTTAAATTTCTACTATAAAATTAAGGATTAATCTTGTATGCATTGACAATATATACACTTTCACCCTTGGATGCATGCCACCTAATTTCAATTTGAATTTGAATATCATTTTTTGCATATGTGGCATGCATCTAACGGTGATAGTATATGCACTATCAGTGCATACAAGATAAACTCTAAAAGTAAATTTATTCCCTTACACAACTTTTCACAGAAAGAAATAAATCCTGCCCACTTGAACTCATAGCAAATCTACATTCTGCCATAATTTTGGCAGCACATGGAGCAAGTTACTTTAAAGATTCCACATTGACCTCCAAGCTCTAAAATAGAGATCATGAGAAGCCTTTTAATGTCCGTATAATTCAGCTTAAAAAGCTCACAACCATATACAGTTAGAAACAAGCACCAAAAAACAAGTAGATCTAACCTTATTCAAGTCTCTTCTCCAGATTGCTACTATTTCAGACACCTTACTTGGAAGATAAGATCTAGCCATCAGTGCAGCCTCAGGTATCCGGTTGCTTCACCCCAAAAAACAAAGGTTAAGTCAACAAGTTTTCCCAAAAAAATCCATTAGTAAAATCGGCAAAATATGAAAATAATTACCTTTCAATCAACAGCTGTAGGCACTCTTCCAACTTTCCCAGCATAAACAGACAAAGGAAAGCAACATTATTCTTCCCATGCTCTTTTGCGCTAGATGCAAGTTTTGATATGCCCTCAGCATCTCCCAAAGAAGAATACAACAGTAACAAACCACTCAAATCATTTGCCTGCTTCAAGCATTCCTCTGCCATCTCTAACTGCAAAATGGAGGAAAAATGCATCAATACAAGAATTGTTGAGAAGACAAAAAGTAGAACCTATTTGACTAAATTGTAAGAGGGGAAAAAGCGCAACTGGAGGGGCTGGGTTTCGCATAGCAACCACTAAAACAAGACAGAAAACTTATTTGGACATTCAGAACCTTTAACCTCCTCCTTGAGCATTTGACAATAAACCTTATTGACAAAGGATTATGAAAGAACAACATATGACCAAATCATTGCCGTCATTTACTCAGATGGAACCACATCACACTCATCCATCTCCAAGACTGTTCCCTAATCTAAGTGTGAGAAATATGACCAAAACATTGCTGCCAATGATTGAGAAAAACTATACAGTCAGCACGTCAAATCAACAATGCTGTTTCCCAAGTGCAAGGAATTTTCAGTTCAAGCTCTGTACAAATCAACAAGTAAAAGTACCATTCCAGTGGACATAGCTAGTTCTCCCAACTGCTTCCATTTTGATTCACTCTGTGCTACAGTGGCAATTTCCTGAACAAAGAAACAGCATAATGAACTCTGTTATAGGACATCATATTTTGAAGAAGCAAAAAGAAACACACACAGCCTGAGAATGCTTGCGTAAAAAAGAACAAAGCTTAATTCCTGTTCAGATAGGTCAGCAGTTAATACCTGTGCGATCTCTAGTTTACCAAGCTGTATGGCTAGCTCAAATCTGTAATCAGGGTCAGTAGCAACTTCCAGGGCATCCTCTACCATTCCTCGTGATTCAAGGAAACGCGCCACACTAGCAATAAATTGATTTTCAAATTGGGATCAACAAATATCAAATCCTTAATTTCATATTCAGATAGAGCAGAAATATCTATGAAAGTTAACCATCCAACACATTGAGATGCATTCCATCTTCACTAACAGATAGATTATGAATTGGCATCAAGCAGGCACTTATTGCCGGCTTCCAAGCATGCACACATCAAATGCGACTTGAGATGCACCTCAATGCACAAGGCAATTAAGATAGCAAGAAAACAAGTCAAAAGGCAGTATACAAAGTGAAAGGAGAAAGCACCACCATGCCACACAAACATCTGCTCATATGCAATATCGAAATTCACTCAGCCACCAGTCTAAAATGGCAAAGACATACTATACACCTCAAATCATATGTGCTACAATCAAACTCCAAATTCAAATGCAACATGAAATTCAATTCCCACTGCAAAATATTTTTGCAAAAGGAAATAATAGGCACCAAAATTGCTGGATGCCAAACTAAAACTCAGTTTTAATTTTTCAAGGAAAAGGCAGGATGTAAGATGTAAGGCGAAGGTGGAAATCAATCACTTACGGCTACAAGCATGAACAAATTTGTCCATGTTTACACAATCAGTTGCAAACATGTAAGATTGCAAACACAACACTGCCAATTTCATAGACTAGTAAACCAGAACTTGAAGATCATATAACTGTCTGACCAACAAAACTGCATCTATAAGTTTTATCAGTAATCAGACAGCAAGATGAAACTCACTCCACCAAAGACAGTACACCTACCTGTTATGATGCTCCTTGGGGATGGATGGTAGGACCTCATTAGCCCTTTCTATGTCGCCACGCATAACGAGTGTCTTGTATTCAATCAAGCTCAGGAGCAAAGTGTATCCCATCACACTGCAACAAAAGTAAACAGGAAAGGCTAACAAACAAAATGACAGAATGACCTCATTGCCTCCAAGGACTCGTAGAAGCCTACTCACTTGAATTCTTTGTCAATGAGGTACACTCTACTCTGGTTAGCTAGATATCCAAGCAAGTACATCGGTCGGTCTAAATGAAACATAGTGGTAACCTAGAAAAATCACATAGATCATAAGGAATTAGTCTTTAAGAAAAGAATCTTGAAGCATTTAGGTTGTTAGGATAAATTGGGATGCATACCTCACCACCAACACAATAATTTAGCCTCCAAGAAGAGTTATTGTAGATAAAGCAATCACCCACCCAAATTCCAGTCCTGACTCTTTCATTTATTTCATATAAAAGCTCAAAGGCATCTTCAACACCTTGTTCATCTACTGATTTTCCATTATCAAGATGTGCAGAAACTACATCACGCTGTAACATTTGAATCAAGATTCCATCACTCTAAAAGCGATACCAAGAAAAGAACTTTCCCAAGTATATAGAAAGCATAGGTGAATTAAATGCCTTACATTATATTTGAGTATATAGAAAGAAGTATCACTAGCTATGGCCACTAAATCACCGCTATCAGCCCAGTAGAGATTCTGGAAAAGGTTAAAGTGACAAAAATAAGCAAATCAGGTAATGCTGATACAACAGTAACATGAAAAGATGATTCAAGGCGAGCATCCCTTACTTTAACATTAACATCAATACGTCGAATCAACCTACAGTCAGCCCAATCATAGAAACAAATGAAATCATTTGAGCACATTGACAGTAGAGAACCACCAAATATGCGCTCAGCAGAAAATGTAGGCCGAATGCTTTTCTTCTCCTGTAAGAGGTCACCTTACTTTCGTCACTATCAGAAAAGTCACTTCAAAATCATAACAAAGTACTACTGGAGGGACAAAAAATAGAGATGCATGAAGAGATAAAAATGAGTTTGAGCTAGATGTGCAACCTATCCCATCAAAAGCAATAGAAAGAGAGATTTAGAGTTTCACAAAAAGGTTTTAAAGCACCAAGCAGATGTTTAAAATGAAATAAAACAGGATAAACTTGCCACCACACAAGAAGCTTGACATAGAAAGCTGTAAGTAATACAATTTGATGTGGTTCCAATTTTTTTTTTGAAGGACCATATACCCAAAAGGAAGATAAGAAAATACAGACCTGGAAATTTTTACTAAAGATTTTTATCTTTGATGTACTTTCCCTAACAGCATATTCCCCATCTGATGACCACACAAACTCCAATGCTGAACCAAATGACCTATTTCTCCATGCCAACGCAGTATAGATGATGTATTCACCATCACCACAGACAACGACAAACCTCCCATTTGGATTGTGCTTTAAGTTCTGCAATACAAACACACAAAGGATATGCAAGTGAAAAAAAAAGCAACAGAGCAGCTAAAACAGAATTAATATCTTGGATAATTATAGAACAGATTTGACAAATACCTTTGAAAAGAAGCAATAATTAAATTGAAGGGGATTGAGTCAAAAGTCAACTTGAAAGGAAACATCATTTTTGTTCATTTGTCAGCTTTAAACAGAAGTAGACACTGACCACTCCAATGACTATCACTTTAACACATAAACCAACCAAAAAGAGTATAGAAAAAGATTGCCACCCCAATCACTACATGTGGCAAATGATACCAACTAAAAATATAAGATTTCTGAAAAAGGAGACCAACTTACTTGTGGGTAAAGATCACAAGTACCCAACTCTTTGACGGCTAAAGGCAACCTCTCTCCATCAGTAACCTGAAGGAACAAAGTGAATAATTAACTCCAGTACCTTTGAACAATAAAAATTTTCCAGTATTATATTTGATTGAGCATCAGAGAAAGAACAGCAAGTCATACCTCAAAATCGGCTCCCACACTCTTGATGTTGACAGTCTGAATCTCATTATGCTTAGCCCATATGATTTTACCACTGTTGTCCATACTGGCAACAGGAACCTCACGGCCTATTTTCACCATGATTGTTCCTTCATCGTAACCAATTACAACCCTGTGAAGAAACTTTTAAATTAATAAAGATGTTACGAAATAAAGACTCATAAACATCAAATGCAGCTACGAACATTATCCTCTCATCGAAATTTGCGTCTCTCCCAAATTAAAAATTTCTTATTCAACTCAAAGAAACCTTGTTTCCACTTATTTTACAATGAGATAAAAGGATTGACAAAGTTGTGTAGACACTCCCATCTACAACAAGGTCAAAAATAAAAAATTAAGATGCTGACAAGGAGCAAGTCAAAAATTGATACACCAAAAAGCACATTAGAAGCATGAGCCTTTTCCAGTAAACCTCTTGCATGCAAAAAAGGTATCACATAAGCAACCAATACTGAAAATTAGAGAACATACCGCCTGGAACCTTTCATGTAGCCTACAGCCCATACTCGTTCAAGACCATAGTTCAAAGTGTTCTCAAGTCTGCAAAAAATTGCAAATAAATTAAGATATACCCATAATGGACAACAAAAATGTAGATTCATATTTATCTGACTTTAAAAAAATCTGAAAAAGGAGATGGGGAAAGGCCATAAACCATGGCTAGAAGTATCCAATTGGATTTTGAAAGAGCCAAAGTATCCACAAGCAAGTAGAATAAATTGACAATCAGGCTGTTATTCAACATCCCCGGTTACAAGAGATATAGTAGTTCTAAATGGTTCTTTTTGACAAATTATACTTTCAAAAACATTTTGGCAAAACTTTTTAAAGCAAGGTACAAATGTGGTCTTCTCATGCCTAAAAAATATGCATTCTGCCATTCTCAGTTCTCATATTTGAAGAAATGGATTTACACCTTCAGTTCCAAGTCATAATGAGGGACAGAAAATGGCAAAGAATGTTAGTAGAATACTGCAGAGCTGTTTGTCATTCAGAAGCCAAAGCACATTAAGACCAGAAAACATAGAATGTTTTAATTACCTATAGGTGGTTGCATGCCATATGCGGACAGTACCATCCTCTGAACCAGTGATTATAATAGGAAGTTCAGGATGAAAACACACAGCTGAAACATTGTGTGTGTGGCCTTCAAGCGTCTGGACACAACTTTTGGTCTGATAATCCCACACCTGATATGATTAAGACAAACAAAAACGACTTCAGGTAAAAACTCTATATATATTCAGCAGATCCTTGGTATAAGGGGACATGAAAAACAAACCTTAGCAGTGTGATCATCAGAACCAGTGATTAGATAAGGTTTATCGCCACCAGTAAAATAATCAACGCAATTTACTCCTTTAAGATGTGCATCCAAGGTGAAATTTGGGTCCGGAGAGCCAAGGTTCCAAATCTAAATGAAAAAATCATGTGTAACTTAATGCTGCTAAAGACAATAGAGTAACTACTTAAGCCAGGCAATCATTTACAGGGCAGTCACATCTCCTACCTTTATAGTGCGATCGAGAGAAGCACTTGCAAAAGTGTTTGTGTCTTTTGGATTAAATGTCACTTGCATCACATAATGGGAATGGCCCTCAAAAATCTGAGTGCACACCCAACCTTTCTCCCAGTCCCAAAGTTTGATAAGCATGTCATCAGATGATGACAGCACGTAAGGAAGAGTAGGATGGACAGCCACACATCTAATGTAATCTGTATGTGCCTCAAACACTTTGACCTTATCCATTGTATTGTAGTTGTACACACGAATAAACATGTCATCAGCGCCAGCAACTACCCACTGCTTACGTGCTACAAACTTGGCTGACCTTACTGCAGCACAGTCATTTGAACATTAGATAACATCTTCCTCATTGAAATGAATAAACAGAACAAAAACAGAGTTTGCAATTAAGCAAAAAACATATACTACTTGTGCACCTGGTAGTTCAGTGACCTCAAAGGATTTCGCCATTGTCTGCAGTAACAAAATATGTCATTCAGCAAAGCTAACAATGGATGAGAAGTTTTAGACAATAAGATGATAATACTACGGGAACTGACCATAAAAAAAAACAATATAGATAGCAAAACCTAAGTATGTAACAAAAGACCTCTAATCAATTTTGCAAATTAACTAGGCATACCAACAAGACACTTTAGCAAAAAATTAGTGCATTTTGACTCTTATAGTACTTAAGCTAACACTTCTGACAAAAAGTATGAATGGAAGGCCTGATTATCCTTCATATATAGCATTTATGAGAAAGGAAGGCAAGATATACACATTATAGACATCAAACTCCCTCCAAGCCACATGTATAACAAGGCTACTGTCATAATGGCTATCCTCAAGAACTATCCATTTTCAACACCACATGCATAGTAGTATTAAAAGTTAGTTATCATCTCTTCACCAAAGTCACTCATGGTACATGGATCAATCAGAACACTAATTGCTAGTTATGCAAATAATTTATTTATAAGGACTTCTAAACTAGAGAAATATGGGGAAAAATATTTCCTGGCTCTTCAAACAAGTTACTTCCATGGAAATAAATATCTGAGAAAAGGATATAGGGGGATAGGTGAAAAAATAAAGACAGATTCACAAATTTTTTCATTTAACTTGACGCAAAGGTATAGAAGAAACAAAAGATGATTTCATCTAACTGGAAATATGTTCTATAAGCAAGTCAATATGTTAAATTACCTAAAATGAACAATTTTACTCGAACACCACCCAAAAAACACAAAAATAACTGTACACGTAGTCTGACATAAGGCATAAAACTAGCCATCTATGTCAAAACCACCTTTAAGGCTCAATCCATTTGAAGCTTCATTAGAAATTCAATTAAACTTATATGAGTTTTCTTAACTCAAGATTGTCAAGGAAACATGCAAAAAAATCAAACACCATTTTGTTTGGGAGAAGGCACAAGTCCAATCACAGAAAATTCCTATGAATTCATAGTTTCTGCTTGTTCAGTCCAACCATAAATTATAAGAATACAACAGTGATTCACACCCAAAATTCCAACTGTCAATAGTTATCATGCATCCAACATCCTGAAACCCCATCACATGTTGGCATGCATAATATTTTGCTTATTATTGCTCTGCAATATTCATTCAATCCATTTTCCAGAAAATTAATTTACAGTTTAAATGGTAAAATGAAAATGAAATCCTGAAAACCTTTTAGCCACCATAATCTCCTAAAGAAAAGAAACTCAGCACTTCATATCCTAACATCATTCAAAAAGTATGCTTGTTATGTAATATGAAATACTAAAAACTGAGATACATGTTATACATGAAGCACAACCTTGGAGCATTAAAAAAATAGTTATTATGGACTTTGAAATACGAGAAACTGAAATACATGTCATACAAGAAAATTACTCTGAGATGGAATAGGAACTCTAATGGAATAGGAACTCAAAACACATTAAATCTTCCCCTAGAAATTATTATCATGAAGTGGTGATTCTAATATGGTAGGTGAAAGATTCTCAAGCCGAAAAGCTGAAGAAAATCCAGTGTACAAAATCCACTAGGAAATAAATCTTAGGTTAATCATACCCACCCACCCCAAGGACAGCCGAATCTTGAAGTTCCAACTTGTCGGCTCCCATATTACCCATCACAGATAATAGTAGATGCACAAAAAAGAATATGATAATAACCCGACTGACACAGAAGTTTGCTTCTCTATAAGACACAACCTGCCCTTCGGTTTGCTTCAATATAAGACCGAAATACTTCCTTTAGACGCACTAGTCCATCATGTGTCAAAATTTCAATCCAAAGACATAGCAGAGCTAAAGTAGGAGATTTTCAGCAAGCCCCAAAGTAACAGGAGAACAGCATTTGGCATGTGAAATACTACCCATTTAACCTCGTCCAAAAAGTTTAACTAAAAGATTATATCATAACAGATGCACCGTTTACATTTTGAATACATTTACATTTACCTGGATCCAGGATCATGCCAATTTTCATGGTATTAACCAAATGAAAACTCCAAATTTTGAATAACAACTAACAGAGAACTACTATACTAAAACTCGAATAGCAGTATAAATCCTAACAATAGGCTAAACTTTTCGTACCTGGGTCTGGTAATTCCATATGCAAACGGTCCCTGAATACAAACTTGCCAAAATCCTATGACACAAGAAAAAAAAAGGAATGAGAGAAGAAGAAAAGGATATCATCTCAACCAAGATGCTAGAGCAGCAGATTACAATCGACACGTATCCAATTCATTGCAGAAGATTTGAAATGAGCAAAGAAAAACGAATTTGAGAAATTGAACTTTGACAAGGTTGATAGTTACCATGGCTCTGTAGGATGTAGATCCACGGATTTTACTCTTTCTGATCTTTGAGCAAGCTTCCTCTGATCCAGCAATTCACAAAATTAAACAAATCAATAAAACTTCAAACAATATCCGAACACCGCCCGAATAAACCAGCCAACAACAATTATCAGCTCTCCAACAAACAATTCCCCTTCGCGCAGCTACGCAAATGGGTAAACAGTATAACAAACAGAGAATTCAACAATACCTTGATTTCCAGTCTGAGAGGCTGATGCGCCACCATTCAAACAGAAACGAAAAAAAAAATACCGTATTAGTAAATGCCGTAATAACAGATCTCAAATCGTAACCGAATTACAAATCCAGCAGCCTACTCATCAACGGAAATCACCAAATTCGAATTACAAGAATGAATTATCCAGATCTAAGTGGAAAACAGCTTACCATTGTCACTGATCGAAAATGGAAACCGTACGAGGAGATTCGTAAACCCTAGAGATCCGATTGAGATCCAATTTGAAGTGTTAGTGAAGTGAAGAGAGAGAGAGAGAGAGATCAAGAGAGAGCAAGAGGGAAAATGGGGAATTTTTTTTGGGGGAAGAATGAATAAAAAGAGGTATTGCACAGGTAACGGCGCCACCCCTCTCCGTTTATTTGTGTAACGACGAGATGGGAATTTGTTTTGAGTAGTGCTGCTACTTATGTAGGATGTCGAATTTCATCGATTTGGATTTGTTGATGATGCCTTTGGAACTAAGGAATTAATTTTCAACAAGTTTTGACGCCTTCTTCGTTGCTATGTCATTTGATGTGTTTCTAACCGTCGATCAAGGGAATGTGCTATTTTCGACGGTGGAGATTGAGTCTCAAGGATTTTAAATTGGACTGGTTTATGCTTGAATCACCACCCCAATAGAGATTGAGCACATGATTGACTTTTCTCCATTTTTTCCTTTTTTTTTTTGTCAAATGTCAACTTGTAACTTTTCTCCATTTTTTCTGATCGGAAAAATACCGAAGAAAGTAAAGGTTGTGTTTGGATTGCATTTTTCGTCATTTTTCATGGAAAAATTACTGTAGCGATTTGATATATGTGAGGGAAAAAGGTGAGAGGGAAATGTGATCACGGAAAATGACAATATTTTCCGACGGAAACAAACAATCCAAGCATGGCCAAAGTGTGTTTGGATAGTAAATTATTTGAAATAATTTTATGAAAAAAATATCGTAACATTTTTTTTTTATATAATATATATACGATAAAAAGATAATTAAAAAATATATTGATACAAGTAAGTGACTATATATAAATAAAGTAAAAATAATGTGTAATCAAAAACATACAATTGGATAGCAGGGCCAAGGACCCTTGAAGTTTGAACCATGTTTTTTGCATGAATTGTTTTTGCACAATTTAATCTTCAATATTTTGCCTTTTCCGAGTTTTATTTCAAAAGTAATTTACACAAATAGACAAGCTAAAAGAGTTCACGCGTGATTGTTGTACTTCTGATACTACTACATAGGTAATTATTGAAGTGGCAAGAACTACAACGAATTGTATGAGATATCTATAGTAGCTTTTTGTCCCTTTTTTTTTAAATTAATGAATGGTAATGAAGATTCCCAACTAAATATTTCTTAATAAACAACAAAAAATGGTGCTTGAAAACATGCACCGGATCTATTGAGTTTTTGGGCCTGTTTGGAACCTAAATTTTTTAGGAGTTTGTCTAAAACTTTATTGTAGTACACTGTAGAAGTTTTTGAAAAAATTTTGTAGAAGTTTTTGTAAGGTGAAAAACTTTTTTGTAGAAGTTTTCGAAATATTACTGTAGACGTTTTTTGGATTATTTTTAGAGGTATTTTTAAAACATATTTTTGAGTATTTTATAATTTATAATTTTTATATTTTTAAACATTTATACATTTATAATACATTTATAAATATTTAGAAATAAATATATTTATATATTTATATAAAAATATATAAATGTATTATATTATATATAATACGTAATATACATATATTTATAAATATATAAATGTATAATTAATATAAATGTATAAATTATAAATGAATATTATATAAATGTATAAATTATAATTTATAAATGTATATGATGATTATGTATAAATGTATTAATATAATTAATATAAATGTATAAATGTATTAATATTATGTTTAAATGTATAATTAATATTGTTTATAATTTATAATTTTTATTGTTTAAATATTTATATGCATTTATAATACATTTATAATACATTTATAAATAAATATATTTATATAAAAATATATAAATGTATTAGATTATATATAATACATAATATACATATATTTATAAATGTATAAATGTATAATTAATATAAATGTATATATTATAAATGAATATTATATAAATGTATAAATTATAATTTATAAATATATATGATGATTATGTATAACTGTATTAATATAATTAAAATAAATGTATTAATGTATTAATATTATGTATAAATGTATAATTAATATTGTTTATAAATTATAATTTTTATTGTTTAAATATTTATATATATTTATGCATTTATAATACATTTATAAATAAATATAGTTATATAGTTATATAAAAATATTTAAATGTATTATATTATATATAATACATAATATAAATATATTTACAAATGTAATAATTGTATATTATTATAAATGAATATTATATAAATATATAAATTAATATATTATAAATAAATGTATTTATATAAAAATATATAAATGTATTATATTATATATAATACATAATATACATATATTTATAAATGTATAAATGTATAATTAATATAAATGTATATATTATAAATGAATATTATATAAATGTATAAATTATAATTTATAAATATATATGATGATTATGTATAACTGTATTAATATAATTAATATAAATGTATAAATGTATTAATATTATGTATAAATGTATAATTAATATTGTTTATAAATTATAATTTTTATTGTTTAAATATTTATATATATTTATGCATTTATAATACATTTATAAATAAATATAGTTATATAGTTATATAAAAATATATAAATGTATTATATTATATATAATACATAATATAAATATATTTACAAATGTAATAATTGTATATTATTATAAATGAATATTATATAAATATATAAATGAATATATTATAAATATATAAATATATAATATTATGTATAAATGTATTAATATAATTAATATAAATGTATAAATGTATTAGTATTATGTATAAATGTATAATTAATATTGTGTGTTAATATTATGTATAAATGTATTATATTATACATAATACATAATATAATTGTATATAAATATACATAAATATATATACATAAATGTGTAATATATATAATATGTATTATATATATTAAATATATAATGTATAATATTTATATAAATGTATAATTACATATTTATATTAATATTAATTTATATGGTATATAATATTTATATAAATATATAAATATATATTTTTAAATAAAATAAAATATTTATAATATGTTTAAATAAATATATAATATATATAATAAATTTTTGAGGGTGAGGACTCAAAAATTCAAAAAAAAATTTTGAGGTTACTCGGCGGCGCCGGAATAGGTGACCGGCGCTGGGAGAGGCGGTGTCTGGTGTGGTGGGTTGGGTGAGGGAGGAAGAAAAGTTTTTGAGAAATTTTTTGTGTATAGATTTTTGAAGTGTGTAGGTAAAAAACTTTGAAAAGTTTTTTGGGGTTCCTGTAGCAAAAGTTGTTAAAAAACTAGTAGCTAAAAAACTTGGTAAAAAACTAGGGTGCCAAACAGGCCCTTTATTTGAATGTGGAAGACATGTCAGAGTTTTAAAGAACTATAATATTTGTTGATTTTTTTAATTATAAGTAAATTCCTTCTCTGTGTTATATCTGTGACATGTTTTGATAGTTTGTTCCAATGAAACAATCTTGTTATAAACACGGTTAATTTGCTGTCCAACTAAGCATTACAAATTTACAACTATTTATTTAGGTAGGACGAACATAATTGTAGTCAAAACAGAGTTATTTTTTTCCCATTTTCTTCAAGAACAATATAAATCTATTAACAAATTCAAGAAAAAGCGTGTTATTACTTATTTTATTAAAAAAAAAATAATTTCGGTGAGTTCATCTCCTAGTACCATGATAGGGTAAGACATTTCCTAAAATCACGAGTTGTTTATAGAGATTTCTACAAATTGCTCGTCAATACAATTTTCACTCCAAAGGGGAATAACACGTTATTGCTCCAATACTCTACTTCTACCACTTTGTTAAGCAATTCTAGCTAAATATGAAACGAGCTTCTCAAATCTCGCATGGCTTGGCAGCTGGACTGATCTGAATTGAACTCCAGCCCTGGATCCTTGCTGTATTGTTTAGTTTCAAAAGTCGGCCCACCCTGCAACAATTTCACCCCTTGTTAGATGAGGTTTCGCAATGAATTAGTGTTGATTCTGATGGGCCCTGAAGCTGGATTTGTGTAATTAAAAGTTAAAATTAAGCCAGAAGTAACTTAACCCAGATCACTCTCCAGCGTTTAACCGTTTCGGCTACCTTGACTTATTTATGATGGGCATCATTTAGTGGAATCAAAATTTTTTTTTTTGAAGAGCTTATTCGTAGTGCACCCAATGGGCATGAATGAAGTAGGCCCAATGTAATGGGCCAAGATCATTGCTCATTCCCTACACACTGGTGAATCTCCTTATAGAACCTAGTCCAACAACGTGGTCCAGAACCAAGAATCAAGTCGAGACACAGGGCGTTTGCTTGACACTTTCGATGAACTTCGAGTAAGCAAAACCATGGGCCTGTTTGGAAGCCAGGTTTTTGGACAAGTTTTTTACCTACTAGTTTTTTAACAACGTTTGCTACAGGAATCCCAAAAAACTTCTCAAAGTTTTTTACCTACACACTTAAAATATCCAAAACACAAAAAAAAAAAAAAAATCCCTTCCCCTTCTCTTCTTCTTCTTCCTCTCTCACCCCAACCCACCACCACCTTCGTCGCCAGCCACCACCTCCGCCGCCGGTTCCGGCGCCGATCACCTCTTCCGGTGCTGGTCTTTTTTTTTTTTTTGCCCTTTTTCCCTCTCCCCCTCTTCCTCCCCTGCCATCCTCCCATCTGTCTTATTTTTTCTCTCTGCGTCTCCCCCACTTCTCCCCCACCACCCTTCCCCTTCCCCTCTGGTCGATCTGGTCGCTAGACCATATCGCACGGGGGAGGGTGAGGGTGGCAGGGGAAGGGGAGGAGGGGGGAGAAGGAAAATTGCCCAAAAAAAAAAATTTCATTTCGTTGCTTCATCTGCCGGCAAGAGCAAGGAGAGGAGACAGGAGAAGAGGGAGAGGGAAAATGTGAAAAAAAGAAAGGGGCAGAAGGAAGGTGAGAAGTGGGAAGGGGAAGGGGAACAGGGGAGGGGGAAGGGGCAGAGAGGGTGGTTGGGGAGAGAAGGAAGGGGCAGAGGGGGTGGCGGGGAGAGGGGAGGAAATGGATGGTAGGCATAGGGGCGGGTGGCGGATGGAGGGAGTGGGAGGGATGGCGGCCCAAGGGGGTGGCGGGTAGAGGGGGGAGGAACGGGGAAGGGAGTGGGAGGGGGTGGCGGGGGAGAGAGGGGGCGGGGGAGAGGAGAAAAGAAAAAAAAAAAAGAAGAGAGGTGGTG